AAAAAAAAAAAAAAACAGAATCCAAACTCAATGATTTGTAGGATAAATACAGTCAGGAGATGCCATTAATTTCCTTTTAAAATGTAATATCCATTTGCATTTGAATCAGCTGGCAAATCCACTGGAGAGGAAGGCCAGGTGACCCGTCTTCCCTCACCGGCACCCTCCCTGCATGCCAGTGCTCCGGTACGCCATGCTTCCACGAGGACAGGGACACGGCAAGAGCACACGCTCTCCAAACCTCCTCTGTGCTCTCATCCAGTACATGAGAAAATCACTTCACACCCCAACAGCAACTTCCCTTACTTCGTATCTGTTCCAAATGACACAGTGGGAGGAAGAAAGGATACGTAAAGGCGCCAGCTTGTGCACAGTCCGACAGAACCGCAAGTGCTGGGGAACTGAATATGCTACTTACCCGATAATTGTCCAAAATACTTGGGTTACTGAAATAAATGCTCTGATCTCTTGGACAAAAAGAATGACAGAGCCAATAGTCTGAACTGAAATTGCTAGACAGCCTTCTCCATTTGTTTTAGTTTATTACAGGCCTAAATTTTCTGCTACAAAACAAGTCAATCATGTTTTTGTTCCAGGTCAACTTGCTTTCACGTGGGTGTGATGTGAATACTAATAATCCCAGGCTCTGTTTCAAGGGTCTGGTGTTGCCACACCACCGTCGGCAACAAAACAGCAACATCAGCATGAGGAAAAGGCAGTTTAATGTGAAGGTGGTTGCTAAAATTCCAAAAAGCTTTCACTAAATACGAAATCAGTTCCATCCTAAGTAAGATTATAATGCTAAATCTTCAAAAATGGACCTCATTGGTTTACAATTAATATGCTTTCTAATTGTTATTCACCACTGAAACTCCATGGAATGCTGAATTCATGTCGAATATATTTAATATTACTGACACAGAAATATGAACATTATAAAACATATTCCATCACCAATTAAAAACATATGTTAAGAATTATAGACGTTAGCTTTTAAAAAATGTTTTCAAGTGTTCACAATAGAAAAGTATGTCTCAAGATAGGCAATAAAAAATTCCAGCTGGGCACTAAAATGTTAAGGATGTGAAGCCTTACAAGCTCTCCCCTAGTGCAATAAAACGTTGGCTTTAGCCTAACTTACACGTATTTTTAAAAGACAATGTGACTTAAAAGAAGTAACCCTAGCTAAACTTCACTTATATGTTGCATCACTTTGGTACTCAACATTTACTGTATCTTCCCCTCCCTAATTACATTACAGAATATAGGACATAAGGATTTAAATTTCCTCAGTAGATATAATGTATTACTAAAAATAAATAAGAATATATAAACTGAGGTGCAGATATATAGGTCAACAGTAAGAAATTCCCAATAAGCTACTATTTTTTGGAATGAGTAAGAAATTTTATATTATCTTTTGACTTAAACATTTTTCAGGAATAATATTTTATAGCCCATGTACTTCCATAAGGATTTTGGTGACACCTTGAAGTAAGTGTAGGTCCATAATACTTTCACAAAGTATTCACAATCACAAATCACATTTAGTGTAGAGGTTTTAAAAGAAAAGTGAAAAAGCACTAAATATATTACTAGAAGAAGAATCGAAATGAAACTCTGCAACCTTAATATATTCACTAGAAAATAAATATTAACACTACATTAAAAAACTAATCATGAAAATTCACTAACACAGAAATCAAAAAATAAATCCAATGATTAAAAAATAAAATATAAAACAATTACCATCATGTAGATTTGTTCTGTAAAGCAAAGCCTATTCTTTAAAATACCAAGAAAACAAACAGATGGGGCAAATAAGAGAGGACAGTAAAAACAGACATTTAATAAAAATTCAGAGGAGGCAGGAAATATTTACAAACCATAACTTGACAAAAAATAGAAAGACTGATAACATCCAGGGTTGAAAAGGATGCAAGGAAGGAGAGACCTCAATCCACCAAGACAGTAGCAGATAAACTAGGATGAGCCACATTACAGAATACACACGCTAAGAATAATGAGGTTAACATATTTATACTCATGGCAAGATCCTGAGGACCCGTCGCATGAGAAGAGAGGCAACAGAAGAAAACACCTACCAAGGAAAACTGAAAACGTCAGCTAGGTGTACATGTGCACGTGAAGAGAAAGGACAGGGACCGTACGGAGCCGATCGAGCGTGGGACAGGCCAAGTCTAACGCAGCGACCGCAGGCAGGAGCGACCGAGCGTTTTCTCTATAGGTCCACCAAGTTGGAAACTCTTCAAGAAAATACGTTTCAGTTCGTGTACTAACAATTTTTAAGTATCATGTGAGCTAATGTATCGTACACGTTAGAGACGTGAGATCAAGGATCGATGAAACTCTACTGCTGTGTCATCCTCAGTCCTAGAACCCTAACATTTTAGTGACCAAACGGACTTTGACGTCATCTGCTTATAATTTGTCGTGTGTACAAGTTAAAACTCAGGGCCAAACAGGTGATTCTTTGAACGGCACCTAGAATACACATACACTGTACAGACACCTGAAGAGAAATCTCCACGGTTCTCATTAAGGAAAAACTCTGCAGAAATGCCCAGCTGTAACTCTCACCTTCCGGTAACAGCCCTTGGCATTTGAAAGATTTATTCAGTCTCCCGTAAAGATCATCAACATTATCACTCTAATCATAAAAATTACTATCCCTTTCTACACAATGTAGTAACTAGATCTTTTTCAAGATTTTCTGAGAATGCTGTATAACTGTGCCATAACAACTCTATTTCTCTCACTTAATTGTCTTTACAAAGCCCTTCCTCAACATATCTCAACCAATACCCAAAAACTGACACTTGAAAAAAAAGTCTTAAAGTAAAAAGCCTCTGTGTTTTCTACAACATTCATAATTTTCTAAAATATGTTTCATTTTCTATTCCTTGGGGCCCTTTTAATATGAAGACGTCTATGACATTCATGTCTCAGGATCAGGTTCCAGGAAGAGAAACCAAGTTTGCCCCCAAGCAATTTCAAGAGAGATTTCTGATTCCAACAGCTGTGTAGACACAGTGCCACACAACAGACCCCATGACAAACGTGGTCCAAAATGTCAGCAGTGCTGAGGCGGAGAGACCCGAGCTAGGAGATGACTCATCACAAGGTCCTGCGGCAGCTACGGGCTCGTTCAGAAGGAAGGGAGGTAACCCTCCGCACTCGTCATTCTCCTACCACATCCCAGAAAGCCAGAAGACGCCCCACTTAGCAATGAATGTTACTCTGGGAAAATATCAGAAAGGCCGATTTCAATAGGCTTCCAGTTGGGAAAGGATTCCACAATTTCACCGGAAGACTGTATTAAATACAAGTTCAGGTAGTATTTTATACATGAAAAAATAGTATTTCTTACCTTAAACAGACAACGGCATATATATTCATAGACCATATGTTTTAATGAGCTGATAAGAGACTGGATTCTCCGTTCTGTACTTTCGGAATCCTGTAGATTACAATTTGAAAACTGAAAAACCATTAAAAAATTTATAAACAGTTAAATGATACCCCATAGTTTAATCACACTTATAAAATTTTCCTCCTGACTCAAAGCTGATTCTAGAATAATTATCTTTGTCAATCAACTTAAGGGACTAAATAATACAGGGACTAAATAATTATTTCCAATAATACAGTATGAATTGAATTTGACCATACCACTCTGATACCTAATGGCATTAAAAGTACTGCTTTCGTAGGGGTTAAACCCATTTCATTACTCACATTATAATTATCAATCAAGTCCTGAAACGGTGTGACCACAATTTTCTCATCCTCAATATAAGAACCTAAATGATCTTAAACCATGGTCTTCGTGTTAACTAACGATGAACACGAACACTGATGTTGATGCTGTTTAGAAATCATACCACCTGTAGTTTTTTTGTTTTTTTTTTTTATCTGTTTCTGTACTTCCATTGTACAGGATTGCCATGATTTGAAAAATACCACTAATGGTGATTTCCTTTGACTACTGAAGAGGAGAAGAAGGATGTCAAGGCTGGTCTTTCTCTAAGTGTCATGTGATTTTTCATGTCACCTCAGGGAGCATTTCAGCCCACATGCCTTGAAAACTTCAATTGTGGTATAATATTTAGGCTTAACTTCCTCCCTTCCTTGTGATTTTAATGGACAAGGAAAAAGCCTAGTAAAGTAATTTTAACAGTTTAGAGAAAGACATCCAGGATAAGCCGTGCAATGTGTGAAACTGGTACAAAACTAATGAACCAGCGCTCAAATCCGTCAGACCTCGGTTTCGGACCTTGTTAGCAGCATGTTCTGAGGCAGCTCATTGTTTCTGGTTCACGTGGCAGACATCGTCTTCGTTTCACTATTAACAAAGGTCACGTGTGAAATGGACCCCTGGATCCACTGAGAGACCCCACTACAAGATTTAATGCATTTCCAAGACACTGGAAATCAAGTTTTTTACTCTACATCTTCAAGATTCTATTGCTTTTTAAAGTAAATTCAAACATGCACACGCGCGCGCACACACACACACACACACACACACACACACACACACAGGTCAGTGGTATTCGATAACCATGCTACCGAAGAAGTGCGGTTACCGAGGAGACGCTGGGCTACACACTTTTGTAAGGAGCACAGAATAACCAATGATCTCCTTGGGTTTAGTCAGAACTGCTAACCTAGTTACCAGTTCTCATACTAGTGAACTCACTTTTAATGTGAATACTTTTTGACTAAAGGATAAAGAAACATCTAAAACAAACCTATACTTGCATATTTTCTAAGTAATTTATGAGAAACTTTTAATGAAAAATTATTCAAAGATCTATATAATCCATTGTTGGTTAAGAGACTGAAAAGGACACTGTTGCTGCCTCAGTCTACTGCACCAATGGCACGTGCTTCCACAGGTAGGGAGATGGCAACTGTGTAATGGCTCACAAATGTGTACTTTTGTGCCAGTCGTCCGTGTCTAGGAATTTACCCAGGGGAAAAACGAGAGAAGGAAAACAATGGAAAAGAGAAAACCCACAAGTTTCTATAGCTGTCTTAAAACATGGCCAGATTCTTTGTCACTCCTCCTGACCACAGGCAGGTTTGTGACAGCTTCCACCACACACAACACAGCATGAGGGACACCAACCCGGGGCCGGGTCGTGAAGGTTCTGCCTTACCGAGCAGAAGACACACGTTGGTCCCCCAGATGTCCCACCAGGAACGCACTGCTCCACGCGGTGAGGAAGCCCAGCAGAGACGGTACGTCAGTCAGCAGCCCTCCCACCAGCCCCAGGCACCAGACTTGCCAGTAAAGACTCCCTGTCTCCCCCTCCAGTCCCACCTGAGGCCCCAAACATGGTGAAACAGAGATAAGCCATCTCTGCTCCACCCTGACCAAATTCCCCACAGGATCCACGAGCAGAAGAAAAACACCACCAAGACTGGGGTAATATGCTATTCAGCACAGATAAGCAGACAGTGTCCATACAGCACCTGGTTACACGAAGTACTGTACAGCCTCACCGTTTCTCAAAAAGACCGCAGGTTCCTGTATATGACGTGAAAGTTGTCTGTGATATACTGACACTTACTTTCAAGACCATGTGATACCTGTGGATTAAAACAACCTATATCCATTCACATTCCCTTCCTTCTACGAGCACATACGCTTGTTACGTAGCATACACTTCTGCAGCCCCGATAACTAGAACAATCCCTGGAATGTAGCAAAGCCTCAAACGACGAACGTGTATGAAACGTGTATGAAATGTTCAATGTTCTTTTCCCCAAGTGAGGAGATTATGTAGACAATTTCTCTTTCTACCATTTTTAATGATACTCTATTACATGTTAATTTGTACTCAGAATTTAAAACATTTCCATTCAAAGGAGTGTCACATTGGGGTAGTTTGTAAGAACATAAAATACACTAAGGAGCCCGTTTCTCTAAATATGGCTTAAAATTGTTACGTGGGGTCTTCTAAAATGTAATTCTAAACAAGTTTTCTCAGGAAATTACTGTTACAAATTAAGTACATAGTAAAGCGATCTCTCCTATTCAGTATCAGCTACGGGGCAAGCAAGAGTGTACCTGTTTGTTGTGCAGAGCCCGCTGGAATAGTCGGAGAAATGCAGCCAAACTGAAACGGTACATGTTGTTAATTTTGGCCAAGTCGGAGATGATGAAGAACATCTTGCTGGCGCTCTCAGCCAGGGGAAGGTACGCATCCCGCTCCTGCGGACCACAGGCAGGGCAGGAAAACACCTCAGCAGTAGCGCCTTACTGCCACCCACAGACCGCCGCACCCATGTGAGCCCCCCCCCCCCCCCCCCCCCCCCCCCCCAGACAACCAAGGAAGAGGACCAATTTTATAACTAACAGGAACAATAGGGCCCAGTTTTTCTTATTTTTATAGAACAGAGGGCAACGTATTTAGATAATTTATCTGCCTCTCCGATTAAAGTCGCCTACAGAGGTAGAAGTGGCTCACAGTGGATCGGAATGAGGACCACCAGCACCTACGTTAGGGAAAGGGTACGAAGACAGGCCACACAGTTGTGATCAGAAATTAAGTGACAAGAGTGTACATTCCAAAAGAGAACCAGCATAGTAATAAAAAGGGCACCGTGCTACAATCCCTGCAGGAGAGGAAAGTTACAGCTGTGAATCACATGTGTGTGCAGACGGACGGACCAGACAGTCTACAGGTGTCCACACCAAATACCAAAAACCACCTAGCACTGTTGGACATAAGCACAGAACAAGCCAGTGTCCACGGGGACCTTCGCTCTGACAGAAAGTAAAGGGTGATTAAATGGCCTCTAGGCTCTGAATGGGACTCTGAGGAGGTTCTCCATGGCACTGTCATTCTGATCCGAGCACCAGCATTACAAATACGGTATTAGTAAAATTATGTGTGTGACTCAGCAACGCCTGTTCAGAAAGAGGTCAGAAAGTCCAAAACCCTTGTGTGGTAAGATCAGAAATGACAGGTTTAACATCTGCCGAGCTTAGCCCTGGGACAGAAAACGAGGTGGCTGGATGAGAATTGGGCTGTAAATCGGTTCGTGCTTTGGTTTCCAAAGAGCCCTTCCTGTAAGAAAAGACTTAAAAAGTAACGATATGTAAGGGTATAATTTGAGCAAGGGCTGAAAAGTACTCCAAGGAAATGTGAAAAGGTCACTGAGATGACTGGCAAAGAATTAAAGGATGTCCCTGAGAGCTGTGGTCAGGCTGGAGCCTGGAGATTCACAGTCACATACATCTGTTTGGGGATGTTTTTCCTCAAGCAAAGTTCAATCACTAGAAGGTAGGAGAAGACAGGATATATTTATGTTATGGATTTGTGTTAGAATTTGGCAAAAGGAACTATCAAAAGAATAAGCCAAAAAGCATTTCGAGCATTTACAAGAAAATAGTTCAGATCATCACAATCATGGGGTCCAAGATGAGTAGGGAAGAAAAATGTTGTTAGTGGAAAAAACACCTGAAAACTCTCAATTAATACACTAAACATGCTTTAATTTTAAAAAGCTCCAGGAATGGCAAAGTTGGCTATTTGTGAACATTAATTTTCAACTTCAGTACAGGCTGGAGCTGCAGAACGTGAGCCAGCGTGACGCCAGAAATCAGCAGAAGGCAGCGGTGCGTATTATTGATGCCGCGGGCACCACACCAGCCCCTCTGGGGCAGGAAGGAGCACCCTGAAGGCTCCAGGGCTTTGAAGTGCTTTCTATTTTGTAATCGTCCTTCCCCTCAGGTCCTCATTCGACACTTTTTAATCAGTTAACATAAAAGGTGAAGAAAACATGATAAAAGACCACAAAAGAAAGGAAATAATTACTTGGTCAAGAGAAATCTGGAGTCTGTAAGATTCTTTAAGTGACTCTTGAGTAAGTGCACTGCTTGCTTTCGTCTGATTCAGAGATTCAATCAAATCTTTATTTTCCAAAATATTCCCTTGAGATGTGGCAAGAGTCTGTAGCAAAAATTAACAAAGTAACATGAATAGTGTTATACGTATTAAAATAAAAGCCCATATTAGCTATCATTAATTTGATGGTTTTTATGAAAACTTACATTATTTTAAAAGAAATTCAACATTTTATAGTTTATAAGAATGGTACAGTAAATCATGATATACTACACGCACATGTATTAATTTTAGCAATTTAATAAAAACTACTTAAAGGTACAGAATAAATCATAATTTCATGCTGCATTTTAATGTCATTCGAAATTCGGAGCGTGCAATAGATATGAGTGAAATAATGCAATAAAAAGACAGTAATACATAAAAATCACTTGTCTTACACATTACTATTACTCCTTAAGATCTTGTATCCCAAGATACCTACTTTTTTCTCTTTGAAGTCTGATTTTAAGATATATATTCACATCCCTGACACAACAAAAAACATGCTGAAGGCACTATTAAAAAATACTGCTAATTATATTCATTAAAAATGTAATATAAGAAAGTTTCCTGAATAACTATATCTTACCTCTAAAAGAGATTCCTCAAGCTTGGCTAACTGTATTTTCTTATCTTCTTCCTGTTGTAACAGTTTTGTTTTCTGTTCCTCTAGGTCAGGTTTCTCATGCTGAATAGTTAAAGCCAAAAGCTTAAAAAAAAAATTTTTGTTTTAAGTCAAAATTATTCTAGTGATGAAGTTCAAACAAAACAAACTTCCCACACACAGGTCTTATGTTTGACCAAATATCACAATAATTATTATATTATGTACCTCATTTGATTCTTTCGAGTTAAACATGAGACACTTCACAATTATTTCTGACCAGAAAAAGAGGCAAAATAGTTACACTGATCAATAAAGTATTAAATATTACAGGACACCTGTAAGTAATTGTATTACTTATCAATATGTAATTCTTAGTTCTAAACTTATAAAATTAGATTAAATATACAAAAAACATGGAAACTAGTTTTTTAATGGTAAGCATTCATATAAAGAAATTAAAAAATAACTTCCTTAAAAGACTATGTCATCAAAATTGCAATGAGATACCATTTCAGGTCCACTAGGATGGCTACAATTAATAAGACAGATGTTGGCCAGATGGGGAGAAAGGAGAATCGTCACACACTGTTGGAAAAGTAAAAGAGTGCAGTCACTTTGGAAAAGTTTGTCCTTCAAAATATTAGACATAGAGTTACCATAAACCCTCAAGTCCACTAAAAAAATAAAAACTTTTTAAAAAAATAAGTAAAAAACACTGAATTGTACACTTTAAATCGATGAATTGTATGATATGTGAATTGAATCTTAATAAAGTTATTTTTACAAAGCAACGTCGGGGCGCCTGAGTGGCTCAGTCGGTTAAGCGTCCGACTTCGGCTCAGGTCATGATCTCATGGTTCATGGATTTGAGCCCTGAGACGGGCTCTGTGCTGTCAGTGTGGAATCAGTGTGGAATCTGCTTGGGATTCTATCTCTCTCTGTCCCTACTCTACTCTCTCCCCCTCTCTCTGCCCCTACTCCGCTGATGCCCTCTGTCTAAAAATAAACAAATAAACTTTAAAACAGATTAAGAAGTCAACAGGCACAATGTCTTTAAAAAGAGAGTGAGGAAGGAACTCTGTAAATAAAAGTCTAGATATAAAAACTCACTCTGAGATTCATAAAATATTCTGAAGTGCAGTAAGTCATACACAGATGCAGGGAATTCAAAGAGGCCTATATTCTAGCGGGGAAAAAAACGTCACGTGAGGAATCAGACACCCTTGCTCCCCTAGCCAAATAAGTCAATGAAATGCAATTTTCACAGTGAAACCTCAGTTTTCACCATTAAAAAAGAAAAAGTAGCTGATCTTAGTCTATGATCCTTCTTTCTCTTCAATTCCACTACACACGACGGAAACAGGCCATAAAACCAAAGGCAGCAGCTTGATGTTAACGACAAGTGTCTCACGCAAAGGATAAAGGAAACCTGAATGCTTTACTACTCTAACTCACAAATACATTTTCAAGGTGTTTCCCGAAGTTTACATGCTCATCAGCTTCTCGAGACAGACTCCAACAAAGAATCATGTATTCACAGAGCTACAGAAGATGTCCCAGGCAGCGCACCGCCCACCTGCACGCACCTGGCCTCGCAATCCACTTCTAGTGGTGGTGAAGTTAACCTCCGTAACGATGGCAGCTGCGTCCGGCGGGATGAAGGGGTTGGGGTTTCTTGTTGACAAGAAAAGGCGGAATTCTTCATTGTAGTCGATAATTTTGTCACCTATTTGTACCACGTAACGTGGCCCTATGTTTTAAAAATGAAATTATCAGTTGGCTTCAGTATTCTATGTTTTGCTACATGACATTAAAAAGTATAATGTATATTTTCTGGTATTTCTAAATAGTTGGTAGTTTATAGGCTTTTCAATAGAGTATGAAACAGCAACAGTTAGGCTACCCAAGAGACTATTAACCAGAATGCCCTATAAATCAGCTCTTATACAAATAGGGATAAACAATGATATCCATTATACATCATGTACAGTGGAATGAATCAACAATTATACCATAACTTACAATTTTAATTTTACAACTAATTTATTTTTAAGAACAAAATACATGTTTTCAAAGATTTTCAAAGGTTAAGAAAAATACTGGACAGAATTTTTGAGAACCTCAGAATAGATTTAAATTTTTTACTTAAAAACTTCAAGTTATTATGAAAATAATTCAATGAGCACTTTATGGAGAATGGTCTACCTCTGTCCAAAAATCTATCAAAACAATGTTGAACCGGAGTCATTATCAGAGAAACCCAAATTTAAAAGATCAATGAAATATTTCTACATTCACTGGAATGGTTCAAGGTAATTTAAGCAGGATAAATGAAAAGAAAACCAGTCTGAAGGATATCATAATCAAACCACTGAAAACCAATGACCAAGAAAAATTCTAAAGCATCTAGAGAAAAATGACACTTCACTTACAAAAGAGCAAGAATAAACTCAGCAGGTGACCTCTCAACAGGAATGACATAAACTAGAAGATGAAGGAATAAAAACCCAAAAGTGCTAAAGAAGAAAAGTGCAACTTCCATGTCAGGCAGAAAAAAAAATATCCTTCAAAAATAAAAGAAGTTTGTTTCCAGTGGACCTTCACTCAATGAAGCACAAAAGGAAACAGTTCAGACAGAAGACACATAACTGAGATGGGCACTAAGAGCACTCCCACCACCAGGAGCAACGGGCAGAGTGCAGAGTCAGGACATCGCAGTCTGACGCTAACACAACACTGGATGTTAACTACACTGGAAGTAAAATGTAGAAAAAGAAAAACAACCTCGCTGGAAACAAGATAATGAAATGCTGGCAGAATTTCAGAGAAGTAGAAAGGATAAATGTGTGGACGTACGGACTTGAAGAACAATAATTATCACGTGGGCCATAGAGATAATGCAAAGACAGGCAGGGGATATGTGGCGTTAAAGTGCACAGGAGAGAAGTGGCTAAGTATTTATTTGTATTAAAATGGTAAGTCCGGGGGCGCCTGGGTGGCGCAGTCGGTTGAGCGTCCGACTTCAGCCAGGTCACGATCTCGCGGTCTGTGAGTTCGAGCCCCGCGTCGGGCTCTGGGCTGATGGCTCAGAGCCTGGAGCCTGTTTCCGATTCTGTGTCTCCCTCTCTCTCTGCCCCTCCCCCGTTCGTGCTCTGTCTCTCTCTGTCCCAAAAATAAATAAATGTTGAAAAAAAAAATTAAAAAAAAATAAATAAATAAAATGGTAAGTCCAAGATATATATTGTTATATGCAGGATGACCATTAAAAATATACAGAAAATGTTTTAACAACAAAAAAAATCACGTCAATTAGAAAACTGTATCAGGTATTCTATGACAAGGTCAGCTGCATTGACTTACATGACATATTAGGGCAGCGTGGTGACTGAAAATGCAAAACCAAACGACAAACTGCTAATGAGAGGCACCCTTTAGAAACAAGACCAACAGAAAATTGAAAGTAAAAGAATAAATAAAAGAAGTGAAAAAACTAGTACAAAAACTAGCCTCCCAAAGTATTGTAACCATTCTAATATCAGACTCTAAAACCTGATACACTTCTGAAGAAAAGGAAGGACGTTTCATAATGGTAAAGAAAAGAATCCAAACAGGAAAATATCACATTTTCAAATATGTATGCATCCTGAAACACAGCTTCAAAATACTTAAAGCAAAAACTGAAGAAACTATATAAAAACGAAACAAATTCAAAATCATAGAGCCTTTAAGAAATCTCTCAACAAATCATAGAAAAAAGCAAAATATAGCAGATAACACTACTACTAATAAACTTAACTGACTTTAGAAAAAAATTAAAACAAAGAGCAAATTTCACATAATTTTCATTTGTACATGGAACACACATGAAAATTAACCAATGTTAATTACAATGTTAATTACATCCAGCTTCAACAGGATGTAAACAAGTGAGTAGTTCAGAGTAAGCTCCTTGGCCATGAAAGAGTTATGCTGAAAATCAACAACAAAAAAGGAATCTTAAAAAACTCCAACTACCTGGAAATTATATAACAACAAAAGAGCCAAGCAATCTGACAAATCAAAGAAGTCAAAACTTATGGTACGAAGCTGGTAAAGGGCTGAGAGGGAAATTTATAGACATAAATGCATATATTAAAAAACAGATTGAATATCAATATTTTGAATTTCATCTCAAGAATCTAGGAAAAAAACCACCAAAGGAAATCTAAGGCAGTAACAGGAATGAAATAATGAAGAGCAAAGACCCAGTTTAAAAATACAATGAAAAAAACTGACAACATTAAAAGTTGGTATTTCGAAAAGATTAGTAAAACTGATAAACCCTTATCAAAGACTAATGGAGGGAAAAAAAGAAAAAAAATTATTAATGTCAAGAAACAAGGAGACATCATTACAAAGCCAACTGAAATTACAAAGTTATGAGAACATTATGTAAAAAATACACCAAAACATTTGACAATTTGGATGAAATGAACAAATGTTTGAAAATACACAGAACTTTAGCAAGCCTGACATACACACAAATTGTAGGACACAAACATACAAAATAAATCCAGTGCTTAAAGGTCCTCAGCTCACATTTGCTGCCAATCTGCAACCAAAGACAGATCATCCTAAGAAAACGTGCTGTCTTGGCAAGAGGGTATTGGCCACCTGTTACAGGACTGGGGCTTATGTTAGGCGACTGAAAGACGGTTCAAGGGAAGTGTGGTTTGCTGGGGAACGGATGCTATCAGAAACAGCAGCCAATTCTGTGACTGGTATCTTAATAATGTTTATCTAGGAGGTGAGAGAAATGGAGGGGGACTACGTTATAAATGGTTAAAAAAAAAATCAGAAGTCACCAAATTAGCTGGGAGACGAAGACGTCTGGTTATTTTTCTGGTACGGGGAGTACCCTTGCGCCTAGACATGAGGACGGTCACAGGAGGAGCCATGGGATGTTGGTGCTGCGGAACGAGGCACGTTCACCAGGACAACAGCACAGCCAGGCCACAAGAACCAGGCCAGTGCGATGGGACTCAGGGCCTCGCTCCTTCTTTCCCGTTGACGCAGCGTGAGAATGCAAGCAAAATTATCCATCCTGCTGCGGGTCAGGCCCGTGGTCATCCTCACTGAGGAGGGCGGCCAAATAGGGGGCTTCTGGGGTGCAGACACAGGTCTATGTCTTGATCTGAACGCTTACACAGGTGTATTCTGTTTGTAAAAATGCATAAACTGTACACATGCGTGTGTATATTTTAATAAAATGTTAAAATTGAAAAATAACTGGTTTTCTCTGGTAAGTAGGACTAGTCATGAGGAGGGGAGGAACGGAACTCAGCTGCCATTCTGCACTATTTGATTTTGTCAACTAGGCATGTATTATTTTGATACAGAATTTTAAAAAAATGCCCAAAGGAAATGGTTCATTGTCCCAAAAGGACCCTTATGTATAAGCCCTATATCATAATGCCCAACACAGTCTCAACTGCATCAAGTCTTGACTTACACTGGAGTTAGCCTATGGAGTAGAGAATAAAGTTAATTTTTTTTCTTCTGGACACAAAATCTTTACTGTACTTTAGAGAACTATGGAGACAGAATGACTAGGAATAAGCACAAAATTTGGTTGCCTGCTCTCTTTCCAGGGAAAGTCCCAATTTATTTGTTCAGTATCTCAGTTCCAATCCTGATCCACGTTCGAGAATACTGTTTGGTTTGGTTTCATCAACATTTATAACAGATACGGACACTGTATACAGTATACCCCCACAGGTCCAAACTCTCCAGAAATTTATCATCTGAGCTCGATAAATCCAAAGTACCATGTCAACTGTCCTATGGGCCCAAACATCCTATTATAGGGATAACCTTTTGGTAATGGTCTCCACCAACAGAACTGCCCACATTGTATTCAATACCATCCAAGCCCAAATGACTAAAGATGAATAGGACTTAAGTGAGGACAAATACAAAACCCTGCCAATCAAATAACCAAAGCGACACTGCCCAAGCAAGTTAAGAATAAACTGCTGTCTCTATAACTACCATATACAAAGAGAGAGAATAACGATTCCTTTCTTGGCCTACTAGAAGCAGCATCTTTCATTCCTGGAATTTTTATAAAAGCCTATGTATCTGGTCAACAAACGTGTGGCTGGTTTTGAAAGGCTGCTCCTGCAAAACTGCAAAAGGCAACTTTGGAAGAAATCTGAGCAAGTGTAAAACATGCCTTTGACCCCGTGTCCTTCAGATGCACAGCATTACAGACGTCTGCAAATAATCTCACGTAAGAAAATCCAAAGGCATGCTACAGCCCATACACTATCCATAGACAAAATTTCTGGGAATCCAGAGCAGTGAGGATCCTGTCCAATGAGCTGACTTCAGGGAACATTCGGGGTTTTTTTGTTTTTTTTGTTTTTTTTTTTTTAATTTTATTTTTTATTTTTTTAAATTTACAACCAAATTAGTTAGCATATAGTGCAACAATGATTTCAGGAGTAGATTCCTTAGTGCCTCTTACCCATTCAGCCCATCCCTCCTCCCACAACCCCTCCAGTAACCCTCAGTTCGTTCTCCATATTTATGAGTCTCTTCTGTTTTGTCCCCCTCCCTGTTTTTATATTATTTTTGTTTCCCTTCCCTTATGATCATCTGTTTTGTCTCTTAAAGTCCTCATATGAGTGAAGTCATATGATTTTTGTCTTTCTCTGACTAATTTCACTTAGCATAATATCAGGGAGTGTTCTTGGCAATAAGGCCACGGTGACAGTTACTAAAATACAACAGTGCAGTTGATTTATGAGTCAGAATGAGTGAGCTAACTTAGCATTATTCAACTTCAACACTCCTGGCAATTTGTGCTGGAAAACCATTTCTTGGAAGGAGAGGTCCTGAGCATTTTAAGAGGTCTCTGCCATAGACCACCCAAACTGTTGCAACCAAAAATGTCCCCAGGCCTTGCCAAATGCCCTCTGGGGGACAACATCACTCCTGTTTGAGAAGCAGTGGTCTGGCTGTGTTCAGGTCCTGGGTCCAGTTGGGCCACCAGGGAGACATACCCATATGGAGAACCAGCCACGAGAAACAGATACAACGACTGATCACAAACTTCATCTCTGTTGTACATACAAATGCCCGTATGCTTCTAAAAGGAAGCATCCAGACTAAAAAGCCAACCAGAATGTTCAGCTTTCATCTCTACAATAATTCCCGATCCAGACCCAACCCCAAAATGGAAATGAAATAACCACTGGAATGAAACAATCAATGAAAAATGCTTTTGACGTCTGTTATTAGCAAAACTTATACTATCTGCCCACCACACCAGCCTCTCCCTCAACAACTTCTAAGAGGCTGGCTGGTCCACAGTTGTTAGTTGCTTACCAACTGCAAACTGGCACATGGACCTTCTGCTTGGGCAGAGTCACGAGGCACGCATGACTCCGGAAGTAAAAACAACGAGAATCTGAAGAGGAGCTGTCCCTTGCCCTTCTTTTCCATCAGTACACATTTGAAGGGATTTCTGAACAGCATAAATGTGAGGAGGAAAAGTACATTCCAATCCTATTATCTGTGCTGACTGACCTCAGTATGTAGACAGGCAGTTCATACTGCTTAGATTAGGGACAGGGGATGTAACTAAAATTGGACACAGACTGTTTAATGTGGTTCTAGGACAGCCATCCTCTGTCCCCAAAGGAAACATATGATGACAAAATGGCAATTCACAGGCAACTCAACATGCTAGAAGACAACAATCTGAAATATATGCAAAGAGGATAAAAGATTCCAACTACTGTGAAGTGCAACCCTGGGAGAAAGGCAGAGTTAAGGGCAGAGACGAACTCTCTTTCCCTAATACTGAAATAAACAGACTAGCCCAAACAGCCATGCACAGCTAGGGGGAAGAGGGGTTCATAATGTGAACCGCTCAGGATGTGAAATATGTAACTCTGCACCAGATCCAACTTCAAGGGACCTTGTCAACACCCATTCTCAGATGATGCTACGGACACTGCCAACACCCAACACCAGTCACAGCTGACAGAGGCTCAGATTCAGGGAGGCTTCAAGGGCCAAACAGGCTGAAGGGACAAATCCAGACGGCCCTAAAGCTTCATTCCCACCTCCCCTTTAAGACAGAATAGCAGGAGCTGGTCAACAGATCTGAGGAAGGACCAGTAAAGAAGAGACGAACTGAGACCGGAGACTGATGTCGAAGGTAACTCCAGGTCACAAGGGCCCCTACCAAAGCTTGCTTCACAACACACAGCCACTGCCAGCCCAAGCACACTGATGTGCAAAACAGCAAGTGATCTATGAATGCATTTTTCGTTCTGTCCCTGGTTAGCCCAATGACTCCAGTTTCTATTTAAACCTTGCGGCGTGAACATAAATGCTGTAGTGGCAGTGATGTGTGTGGTATGAATCAGGACAATACGGTCTCGAGTTTAAATGCATTCCTTTCTACTCGCCAAAGGCTGGCTCAGGTACCTACAAAGCAGTCCTGAGACTGGGCCACCCCCACACCATCCTGCTTACGAGATGGGCCCCTAAGAGGATTCTGGGAATTTGGATTTGGGGAGGGTTCTTACCTTACCCAGAACATGGTGGAAGAGTGGCTCACTGCGTTTTCACTGTTTGTACAAATAATGTGGTTTGTGCTGAACACTTGTGTTTTTGTTTGGGGAACCTGGAAATCTGCTACATGCCAGGCCAAACAAGCTTACATAATTAGACCCCAGTGGGGCATCTGGGTGGCTCAATAGGTTAAGCTACCAACTTCAGCTCTGCGGTTTGTGGGTTCAAGCCCTGCATAGGGCTCTGTGCTGACCGCTCCAAGCCTGGAGCCTGCTTCAGATTCTGTCTCCCTCTCTCTGCCGCTCCCCCACTCATGCTCTGTCTCTGTCTCTCTCAAAAATAAACAAACATTAAAAAAAAAAAATTACCCCCAGTAAAAACTAGGGTCTGAGTTTGTACGCAGTAAGCCTCCTTGGTATATGACATTTCACAACCTGGTCCTTGGAGAGTAAGCACTTCCTGTGTGACTCCAATGGCAGAGGACTTAGAGGCCTGCACCTTGTTTCTGGACTCCTGACCTCACTTATGGTCCATTTTCTCTTTGCTGATTTGCTTTCTATCTTTTCCCTGCAAACAATCTCAGCCCTGAGTGTGAGACTGTTCCGACCAACTGTGCTCCAGAAGACCCCGACACGGCGCCCTCCCCACTCAGCCTTCCCCCCCACCTCCCTGCCGCGTCACTCCAGCCAGGGGCAGCCCAGAGACCCC